ATGAATAACATGGGCATTTTAAAATTAAATTTTTTTGAATTTTCTACTTATCCATTTGGCGCATAATAACGCTTCAATATACTAAATTATTTGTTTTCTAAGCTCTAAAAAATGGTTTTGAAAGAAGTTGTGAAATTTTGTGTTTATAGGGTCAAAAATGGGAAAACCCTATTTTTACCCCATAAAACCCCGTTCCCATAGTCCGATCATGCTGGTTCGCGAACTCATTCTGGTTCATCCCGCTTTATACCTTTAAACCAAATTTCATCAAAATCGGAAAAAAATTACTCAAGTTATCGTGCGGATGGACACATATATATATATATATATATATATATATATATATCTATATATAGATATATAAAAATTTGAACGAACGGTGTTTTTGGCCTCTGGGGACATCAAAATGAAAAAGTAAATCGGTCCCGGGCTTAGGTCTTACCATGAGACCTACGGTAATAGCTACTTCCCTATAGGGAAATTCGCTAAAACTGTGGGAAAACTAAATCTGCAGCTTAAAATGTGATTAGACTTCATTTGATGCCACAAAATGGCTGCCAAAATACGTTTCATGGAGAAAAAACTAAAGTAAAACTTACCTTTAGATATAGGGTGTAGTATATCGAATTCAATGTTTTCGAGGGTGGCAAAATAAAAAATACCCCCGCCGCAGCAAACCTGCAGACTTAGCGAATTTCCATTTGCCTGATTGGATTTACACTGGAATGTCTCCTTAAAAATATTACATTTATTCCCTAGTTAAATAGGAATAGTTTAACAAGTACTTATGTTTGCTGCAACAGGGAGGGTAAAAAGTGTTTTTTACTGTAAAATGTTAATATAGGTACTGTAGTTTATTAAGAAATTAATGTATTTTCCAAATTTGATCAAAATATGTTCATAAACAAGCAAACTACAACAGTTGACTTATTCTTCATATGAATAACATGGGCATTTTAAAATTAAATTTTTTTGAATTTTCTACTTATCCATTTGGCGCATAATAACGCTTCAATATACTAAATTATTTGTTTTCTAAGCTCTAAAAAATGGTTTTGAAAGAAGTTGTGAAATTTTGTGTTTATAGGGTCAAAAATGGGAAAACCCTATTTTTACCCCATAAAACCCCGTTCCCATAGTCCGATCATGCTGGTTCGCGAACTCATTCTGGTTCATCCCGCTTTATACCTTTAAACCAAATTTCATCAAAATCGGAAAAAAAAATTACTCAAGTTATCGCGTTCACGGACACACATATAAATATAAATCTATATGTATATACATACATATATAAAATTTTGAACGAATGGTGTTTTTGGCCTCTGGAGACATCAAAATAAAAAAAGTAAATCGTAAGTACTGGCCTTTGTAAAAGTTAAACTCAACATAGGGCCTACTTCAACTTATTTCTAAAGGTAATTTCTTTTACTTTTTGGAGCGTATTTTGGTGACTTAAATTGTATGACCTTATATTAGATAAGGTAAGGTATTAAGTATTAAGTATTAAGTATTAAGTATTAAGTATTAATTATTAATTATTAATTAATAATTATTAATTATATTAAGTATTAGATAAGGTATTAATAAGGTAATTTTTTATTTTGCCACCCTCAAAAACATCGAATTTGATAAACTACACAATATATCTAAAGGAATGTTTTATTTTAGTTTTTTATTCTCCACGAATCGTATTTTGGCGGCCATTTTGTGGCATAAAATGAGGTCAAATCACATTTTAAGTTGCAGATTTAGTTTCCCACCCTTGTAAACATTAAAACCGATATACTACACCCTATATTTAGCAATCTATAATATTAAAACGAAACAGGGTTTCTTTATTTCACGATTCTGAATCAACCACTCAACGGATTTTAATTATTTTTGTGTTGAAAGAAAGATAATTTTGAGAACTAGGGAATGTCGAAGCCATAATTTTAGTTTAGGGTCCCAGTTATTTATAAATTAAGTTTTAATTTTTGAAAAGTCTAGCAGCCGACGCTAAGATTCTAAACTAGCTCTTGGTGCGGTGTAATATAATTTGTTTAACATAACAGCTGTACACATTCAGTGTTTGTAACACAAATTCAGCATTTGGATAATATTAAAAGACATACTAAGGGTTGACTAATTTATACTATGTGTAATGCTAACCATTAATACGTTCAATCATTCGATAAGAGGATGACAGATTATTTAAATAGGTAAAATAGTACATAGGTAAAATACTAGGATGTTTAAAGGATTTTTTAAATAAATCTTTGTAATCTTCGGTTTGTTTTAGTTCAATATAATTTTCTTTTAACTAACAGCTGGTTAAATATAAAAATGCTCTGTAGAACTATACTCTGATTTGTCATTGATTTTTAGGAAATAAGTAAGATTTAGAAGACCACTGAGAAAAGTAACATTATCGATGTATACAAGTCTAGGCTCTGTACACGAATCTTAAAAAAAAGGATATGCAAATTATTATACTGCTCAACTTTTTTGGGAAAGGGTAGGAAAATCCATTTTTTACACGTTTTAATTAATATTGGTTTGTTTACAATCAATGTTTTTGAATGATTAAACTTTGTTTGAATTAGGCCCGGAAATATTGATGCCATAAAGAAGGAGATCAAGAATCCTCAGGAATAAAATTTTAAATTACCACCACAACTCAGGCGGGGTTTATCCAAAGATATACAGATATGAATGACATAGATTAAGCACAACGTCATCATTGACCTAGGATACTGCAATTAGACTAACCATCCTTTTATGAAATCTAAAAAGTTGTCTGGCGTGTGTTTAGTTGTGGTTACGTTTGGAGGCGCTGAATATTTTATAGTTTAAATAAATGAATATGGGGAATTACGGTGTATATTGATTCAATGAGGGTGGTTTAATTATTAAGGATATTAGAACTGATAACGGAATCAATAATAAACATAGACAATTAATTACGTCACTAGCTTTACTAGCGTGTTTTACGTTTTAAATTCCTTCAACATGTGACCAGTTCTTTTGTTCAAATGAATATTATTTTATTTTTGACTCAGCTGTTTACCAAAACAAACTATATGTTGTTGTTTTTACTTTTCTTTGTTTACACTTATTTATTTAGCAATTGATGCAGTGAAATTGATATATAGGATATGTGTGGACGATTCGTTTAATGATGTCAGGACACCAACGTTATAATTATGTGTACTGTGAATTTTATTAGATGTTTTAGTTTTATTTTAGGGAGTTTCTATTCAGACCTACTGGAAATTGTGTATATGTAGTATGCGTAATTGTATTGTGGTGATATTGATTATGGAAGAGGCAGGTATGCGATGGAATTGGAAGGTGATATCGTTGACTAGGCCTATACACTTCTCAATTGATAATTACCCTTTCTACTGTAGGCTACAATAAAATTTGTCTTTATACGTGTAAGCTAGCTGTTCTGATTTATACACAGTTTTAACTGACTACTCCCGTACGTAGGACGGGTTAACACCTCGTAATGTGTTTAACTTATTTTTTTTTGGGAGCAATTATTATTCTAATTTAAATATCCTAATATCAGGTCCTACCACAAGTCAGATTTTTTGATTTGTGGATATTTATAGGCATGCACTGTGGATGCGACACTCCCTGGTGTGGATTAACGTCCGCACGGGTGAGTACTACGACTATCCGCAGTACTATCCTGACAATTAGACCAATTTGTAATTACCAAGACAAACATGTGGTTCGGATTCCACTTTAAACTGTAGGTCCCTTAGTTGCCATTAGCTGTATGGGCTATTAATTAACAGCTGTGTCTAAGGAATGTCGGCCTTAGTCACTAACAAGACTACAAGACGCCACTCATCCTACACTCATCTCCATTCACACTTGGCTTAAACTACCTACTTTGTATGGTCGCCATTTCATAGAACAGTATTAACAGATTTCGGTAGACTTGTTTGTGTTGTTTGAAGGTATAAAAGTATTGAAATCCGTTGAAACCCCTTTTTGAAACAATGTTGTCGAACTTAACTCAATGACTGGACTATAGTGGCAAAACGATCTGACGACGGCAGCGAATCGAGCAACAAGCGGCACATCACGGAAACTTCCTTTGACAGTCTATTCTATTTGTCCTATGGTTTTACCTTCCTAAAAGTTAGAATGTCGCCAGGGGAACCCATACAGCTGTCCTTGACCATTAATGTCATTAATGTCTTTAGTGTCTTTTAAATGTCTATTTAGTGTCTATTTAATGTCTTTAAATACAGACATTGAACTCTGCCTAAAAAACGGCTAATCTTAGCCAGCAATGAAGCTACATAGAATATCATCTCATTCCATTCTACACTCATAATACCCTGCAGTCCGGTGGGGCATACGGGAGGGACTATGGCTAAAGGTGTGGTGACGTTATATCTCTAGTGGCTAATGTCTTCTCTTGAGGGAACACCATTACCGTTAACGAGACGATATGGTATTACCGTTATATTACCGTTAATGAGGCGTTCGTGGCATAATTGACAGCGTCTCGGACTGGTTTTCTGGAGATCTCGAGTTCGAAACCAGCCGATTTACATTTAAATTTACTTTTTGTCAAAGATTTTGCTTAGAATGCGAATACTTCATCTTAATCTCATCTTTATCTTTTGTTAGAATTTTAGTCATTTATGATTTTATTTATGAGTAGAACTATTTAAAAAAAATTGTAAGCCTTCATTCGATTTTTATTTTATACCTTAGGGTATTTATATTATCAGCAAATTTAATTGGTTAGGTTAGGTTATTACAGTTTTTATAATTAAAAAGTTAATTTTATAACTAAAAATTATAAAACTAATTACAAATTTTTCAACTTAGCAGTTCTAGCGGCGAACGCTGACATTACAAGATATGTTAGCCATAGTCCCTCCCGTGTGTCCCACTGCCCTGCAATCGCATTCAGCTTAAAATACATACAGTCTTAGTGAAGATGATTAATTAATAAATGAGTGGTATGAGATATATATATATATACTTACGATCTGTATTTTCGTTCATCATAAGCCACATATAGATGATAAAGCAGGCGTTAATCAGTAACACTATCAGTAAGAGCAATTGCTGTAGGAGTTTACTAAAACTCGTAGTATTAAGGAACATCCTAAGGGATTGCACATATCCGTATTTGGGTGTCTTTACGACAGTGAAGGGAAAGGAGCAAAGTTCACAAGAATCTCGGACTGACCATGTCAACCATTCTTCCAAACATGCAACATGTACCCGGCCCAACGTACCTGCTCAGAAGAAAACATAGTCAATCATTGTTGTTGATCAGTTAAAAATAGCTTACCAACAGGGCGTGTTGTAAAACATTTATTGTACAATACCAATAAGATGAAGATGAATGACATTTTAGTGCCTAAGCTGACACATCAACCTCACTGTAAAATTCATGAGTATTCTAAACCAGTGTTTTTTTTTTTTTTTTTTTTTTTGTTTTTTTTTACCTATGGTGAGTTTTAAAATAGTTCTCATAGAATCTTATTTGATAAAATAATTCTTCGTAATTGAAAATGTTTACTAATGAATGACTGAGCAACAATCTTCTATTTTAGGCAAGAAAAGTGTAAAATGTGAATAATGTAAATGTAAATGTAAATGAGGAATGTGCTGTTCCTAAAGATGTTCTCAAGCAAAGTTGACCAACATCATCTATATCTGCATATCAACAGTTTGACGTGTATATACTCAATAGTAAAATATCCCTTTAGAAATGTTGGGAAATTCTTCAAGAGTATATTTAGTGTTGACTGATATAAATAAAAATGCCATAAGGGTGGTGAAAACTAACTGTATTCCCAACTCTAATACTAGTTTAAATGATAGGCTTACCTCAGGTACGATACTTAACCCTTTAAGACTCAAAGGCTGATTGATATTTTAAACAAAAAGTACTATTAGTAACCACTGATCGAACCAATTAACGGTCGCCAGCTCAGAAGTGGAAGTTGATGATATTGGTCAGTACACAAGTAGGGTTTGAAAATGTCATCACAAATCTGATATTAGTTTCACTACTTAATGCTATTTGTGTGTCCCCAAAAAACTTAATTCAAAATTATTTTTATTTTGGGTTCAAAAAAATATGAACGATTAAATCAAAGGGTAGACCTAGTTAGGGCGAACTTTGTCATTAAGACCTTTTGATGATTCAACGCATAGACAAATAGAATAAATATAGACCGGCAGCAGTGCTGTGGTTATATAGCATATGTTCCGGCGCCCACCGCTAGGAGTGCCGTGTTGTTACGGGACGGCACACACCGCTGCAGCGCCTGCTGGTAGCTCCTGTGCTTCTCGCCTGCAGCGGTGTGTGCCGTAACTACATGGCACTCCTAGCGAGGGCGCTATAACCTTCCTTTGACAGTCTATATTTATTCTGTTTGTCGATGTTCAGCGCTACATTGTTTTATTTGTAATTTACAATTTAGTACATAAATAAAATACCTTTACAGTGACATGGAGAAGATATTAAATCAGTTCCTTTGTTAAGCTTGCATATTCTACAAGGGACGGAACTTTCACTGCTAACTGTATTACGTGTTGGAGTCTCTGACGAGTTTACACCAAAGAGCACATCCACCCCTTGTGGATATTTGGGCAAAGCAGTTCCACTGCAATCAGCCATGGCTTAAATTTCTTTGTTAACTGGATCTAAAAATTTTGGGTTAATTATATCACCTTTGTTTCTATGGTTATCAAGTTTTATTCCAAGTTCCACAAAAAATATTACTATAAAGGTTGATTTTTAAGTCTACAGCAAACACAACACAACACTGAATTATATTTTGTAAACAACTTCATATGTACAATGTAAAAACATATGATGGTCCATCACTAATCCAGACTAGATGAGTTGGGTTGCAATATTCAACATCCCCCCTCACCCAACTTAGCTCGGTATAAGTCCTAGGCACTTTTGAAATTTGTGATGTTTTGGTTCGCTTAGTCCTTTAGTAAAAATATCAGCAACCATGTATTCTGTGGGTTGGTAGTTCAATTTTATTTCTCCATTTTGTACTTTTTCCCGTATAAAATGTTCTCTGATACTGATATGTTTAGATTTACTTCCTATAATGGAGTTTTTAGCCATTGTAATAGCTGATTGGTTATCACAAAATATTTCAATGACTTCTTGAGGTCTTCCCATATCATTAATCAATTGTTTTAAATGAATGGCTTCTTTTGTTGCTTCAGTCAATGACATGTATTCCGCTTCACTCGTAGACAGAGCTACAGTCCTCTGCTTTTTTGATTCCCAGAAGATTACAGCACCGCCAAATTTAAAACAGTAGCCGGTGTATGATCTCCTGTCTTCACTGCATGCCCAATCTGCATCTGCTGCTCCAATTAATGGCTTTCCTGTTTTGAAAAATTCAAGACACAAGTTCTTTGAGCCTTGCAAATATCTGAGAACCCTCTTTGCAGCAATCCAGTGTTCTTTTCCAAAACAAGAGTTATATTGGCTCAGGTAACTCACAGCATGTGTTATGTCAGGTCTTGTGGCTATTGACAAATACATCAATGAACCGATTAAATTTTGGTATGGGTAGTTACAATCTTTTTCATGTCCTTTAACCAATTTTAGACCTGGTGTTAGTGGAGTTACAGCTGGTTTGCAGTCAGTCATATTGAATTTTTTCAGGACTTCATTTATGTATTTCGTTTGTGACATTGATTTGATCAGCTTGAGATGGTATGAATTTCAGTTCCTTTAGTTTTTCATCAAGCTTCATATACCACTGTCTTCCTGATTGCTTTAAACCATAAACTGCCTTTTTTAGTAGACAAACCTTTTTGTTTTGAGCATTTTTTAAGTCAGTAATCATTTTCTTTGTTTTGTTGAATAGTTTTTTATCTTCATTTTCACTCTCATCCACCATTATTTCTTGGAGGTATCTCTCAAAGTTGTTAGGAGTTCCATGTAAACTTTTTCTTTTATTTCTCCATTTAGAAAAGCAGTTGAAACGTCCATTTGATCAATAGTTAGATCATCTTCAACAGCAAGTCCAAGAATAAGTCTTATTGAACTTAGCTTTGCTACGGGAGCAAAAGTTTCATCGTAGTCAATGCCTGGTTTTTGTGCAAATCCTTTTGCTACCAATCGTGCTTTTCTTCTTTCTAGCTCTCCATTTGGTTTTAGTTTCTTCTTTAATACCATTTTACAATCAATTACATTAATTTCTTTGTTTCTATCCTCAAGCACCCAAGTTTCATTTTTTAAATGAGCTTTTATTTCCTCTTTTATTGCTTCATTCCATTCCTCTGAAGATTCTAAAGTTGAATCTTCATTGCAAGTAGCTGACATTTGATAATCTTTAGTCCAAAGAGGAGGTTTTCTTTGCCTTTTCTGTGATACCCTTATTTCATCAGTGTCTAAATATTCATTTGAGCTTAGTGAGTCATCAGGTTGATTTTCAATATCATTTGAGCTTGGTGAATCATCAGGTTGATTTTCAATATCATCTTCGAAAATTATATCATTTTCCATTTCACTGTCATTTTCTTCAAATATAGTGTCAAAATCAGACTGGTCATCATTATTATTTTCGCTCTGTTCGATAGGAATAATGCAAAAATCTTGATCTTTTTTATCACTTTCTTTTATTTCGTTTTGCTCAAGAAGATTGTAATCATTTACATCTTCATTTCTTTCATAGTACATTTTTGATAGAACTTTTACATCTCTTGCAATTTTAACCTGCTTTTGTTGTGGCATCCAAATTCTGTATGCTTTTGAATTGCTTGCATACCCCACAAATATTCCTTGCTCCGCTTTTGGATAAAATTTTCCTTTTCTTGAAGCTTTGTTTAATACAAATACTTTTGTCATATGCTTAAATAATCAGATGATTATTGTTGTTTTTATTCGTTATTGTTTACATTTATCTTTTGAATTGAATTAGTTCTAGAATAAAGTTTTACCAATTAATTTACGTGTATTTTGTATATTTTATGAAGATATATCAGATCCAAATACTTTCAAGTGTCTTGCTGAAGGCTTTCTTCCAGTCCATTTTTCATATGGCGTCAAGTGTTCAGTAGCTTTTGAAGGCCATCGATTTCTTATATAGTTAGATGTGTTAATAGCTTCAGCCCACATACATCCTGGTAGATTTGATTCTATCAGTAAACATCTTGCCATATCCAATAATGTTCTATTTTTTCTTTCAGCCAAACCATTTCGTTGCGGCGTGTATGGAACTGTTAGTCTTCGCCTTATACCACTTTCTTTCAAGAACTTGTCAAATTCACCATTACAATATTCTTTGCCGTTATCTGTTTGCAGAAACTTGATTTTATTTCCTGTTTGATATTCCACCTCATATTTATATTCTTTAAAACGTTCAAAAATTTCGTCTTTACTTTTCAAAAAATATACATAGCAGTATCTTGAATGTTCATCAATGAATGTTCCAAAATACTTATTTCCTCCAGGTGTAGTTACTTTCATAGGACCTACAATGTCAGAATGTATGACTTCTAACAAGCCTACATTATTTGCAATCTTTCTTGATTGAAATGGTGTTTGTGTCAATTTTCCTTTAATACACGTTTCACATTCTCCAATTTTGTCTTTCATGTTGAAGGTTAATCCATTCAAAGATTCATTTTTTAAAGCTGTTTTTAAGTCAACCTCGTTTAGATGACCTAACTTCTTATGCCAATCTATGATCTCAGGTTCTTTTGTATAGTTTGATTTTTCATTTACCATTATAGATTTTGTACTTTTGACATAATAAAGACCACCCTGGCGTTCTGTTGCCACAATTACATTTCCTCTTTGGTTTTGGACGACAGCTTTCTCTTTTTCAAAAATCACTTTAAATCCTTTATCTGTTATTTTACTGACACTCATTAGATTTGTTGCCAAGTCTGGTACAAACAGAGTGTTATTCAAATGTATGATTTCAGAATTTTTTAATTCCAGCGAAACCGTTCCTGTTCCAGAAACGTCAGATGTCTTTCCTTTAGAAGCAAGTTTCAAAATTCCGTTTGAATTTTTGATATCTCTGAACTGTGATTTCTCTCCACACATGTGCGATGTACATCCACTATCAATGCACCAATCAGATGAAGTAGAACCTAAAATGTTCAAATTTGAAGAGAAACATTCAGCCTCTGCTTTAAAATTATCTCCCATTTGTTTGGATCTACAGTTGTTGGCTTTGTGTCCGATTTTTCCACATCTAAAACATTTAACTTTGAAACCTGCAATAAAAAATAGGTTTCTAGGGTGAGTGTGCCCTGCGGCGTTAGCAGAAAATTATATAATATAAACAGGAGGGAAAGAATAAAACCATTATCAATAGTTATTTGTGTAACTAGTGGGCAAAGTGGCGTAGAGGTGTATAGTCAATGGTGGCACTTTGCTGCACACGAGAGGAATGATCTTGAGTGCAGCAAAGGCCTTTTGCACTCGTGTTACACATTATATTTTTCCTACAGTCACTATAAAGCATATAAATAATTAGTCTTTCAAACACTATACAACACGTTTTTAGGTTCAGCAGGCAACACAGATAGGTGCCCTAGAGAAAGTAGTACCCGGTCCGTATCACTCCGCTATTTTTCCTCGGCAAGAAATGTGCTCCGCCACTTGAGAATATAGTTCCGTATGTTTTTGTAATTTTAAGTGGTTTCCGCGCCTAAAAAAATGCTTTTTAAGGTATTTTCTTGTTTATTAAGATCGTAGGAATGTTTTAAAAACGTTTAAAAGAAAAGTCCAGAAAGTTCAGAAATACCGAAACTATAAACACGAAATGACAGGTTAAATCGTAGTTATAATAGTCAATCAGCTGCTCATAGTATTAATATCTTTAAGTGTTGCCAACATATTTCCAAGCGTACACGGACTACGTGCATGATAGAACCACGCTGTTTTGTGTTGTTTCGTTGGAATCCTGATGTGCGCCGAAGTATAAACCGTACGAAAAAGTATAAACCGTACTACAATGTATAAATATGCAGCAATTAGCAGCTTTCTGTACTATAAACAGTACAAGGAAGCCAACTTTGTCGGGTGACTGTAGGAAATAGTAGTTTACGCAACGATTGCGTTAAGTTAGCTGTCAAACGTGCTGACAATGAAAAATCTAATGAAGGTTTATTGATCGAAAAAATAGTTTTGTTCATAAAATAAAATTATAAATGCCTCAAATCCTATTTTATAATTTTTTTATTATAAAATTCAACTATCATAACCTAACCAAACTAACCAGACTTGCTAATAATAAAAAATCAAATGAAGGTTTAACCGAAAAAATATTTATGTTCATAAAATAAAACTATAAATGGGTCAAATTCAATGTCATAACGTTTTAATTATAAAATTAAACCGTCATAACCTAACCAAACCAACCAAACTTGTTGATAATGAAAAAAATCCAATTCAAAAGAATAGTGCTACGGGTGGGATCATCAGCCCAACACTGTATCCACTACACCACCGAGGCCGTTGGCATCATTAGTATCGTCGCGGTAGTTATGTTCCTTCAGCCAATCAGAAGCCTCAAAATAATACTGTAGGCAACACTAATCCTGAAATAAAAATTCAGCTTCATGCACAGGGTTTAACCTAACCTAAAAACGTGTTGTATACTGTATGAAAGACTTATTATTTATATGCTTAATAGTGACTGTGGGAAAAATATAATGTGTAACACGAGTGATAAAGGCCTTTGCTGCACTCGAGATCATTCCACACTCGCCTGCGGCTCGTGCGTAAACATTGCTCTCGTGTGCAGCAAAGTGCCACTTTGCT